ATAAATCCAAGACACTAAATACTTGGAATTTAATATTCTAGGGTAATCAAAAGGTTTTAAAATCTATTAAGCCTGTGGCTATCCAGATAATGAATGAAAGTTCAGCATTACTAAGGGTAATCAACTTTCCAGATAGAACCTGTATAAGCATTTCCTGGGACATACCAATAAGACTGGAAGAGAACTGACCTACTGATTATTAGCAGTATCTTTCCACAATATCAAAGTAATTTTGACATCTGAAGACAATGAATATAAATAACAACATCAAAATTAAATCATACTGTGTATTGTTATCATGTTTTCTAAGCATGCAACTAGTCTTGGCAACTAAAATACATAGGGAGAAAAATAATTGCATATGATGATATACAAGGGTATATAGATTCAAATATTTAACAAGCAGTGCAACATAGACGCCAACCAATCAGAACAGTCTCTCACAAGTGCACCATACCAGCAAGACTGCATAGCAACAGCCCTGTACATACAGATATATATACACATACATGANATTGGAACTTTCAATCAAAGTTCAACACCTACATCAGACTCAGAGGTGTAAAAATGTGAAGAAGGTGCCAATTTTGTTGATGGTTTTGCCTTCCCAAGTTCCTCAATTAACACACTTCCCCTAGCCATAAAAAATAAAATGTATTTTTGTTTCTGGGAGTATACATTGATAGAAGTTCTTTCGTAGAGGGAAAAAACTCACAGTTGTGTTCTACTAGCTCTTTTAGGACACTAGCATTTCTTTTGCTTGGATTCAAGGATGGGTATAAAGATAGAGAGCCCTTGGAGAGGAGTCCTTGTGAACTTTCACAAGTTGCCCAGTGGGATTCCACCAGACATCCAGACACCAAAAGCTCCAAGGACAGAGTGGCCAGAGCAGAGGAGTTCCAGGCTTTCCCACTTTAACAATGGCCTACACAGACCTCTGCGCCAGTTGTCCCACTAAATGTGAAGGTAGTCCTAGGTCACTTGACCACTGGTGATGAGAGCTTTCATTTCACACCAGAGCTCAATAACCACCAGCATAAAGTGGGTGCTTAGAATATCCCTTGTGCTGTCTTTAGATACCAGAGCCAGGCAATGGAGCACAGGATAAACTCATGGAAATATTTTAAACAATTCATTTCCATTTGCTGCTATACAATTTCACTAATCTTTTTTAAAAAGCAACCAAGCTTTGCAAACATTACACCAATGTGTCAAATAAGGGGGACATAATGTACAATGTCTACTGTAATTGCCACAAGTAGTTGTACTTTGAAAAATTGGCTGAATTCAATAAACCAGACAGAGTATTAATATCACATTAAGTTCTTCAGAAATAAACAAAAACAATATGAGTGCCTCTGAGAATTTAACTGTGACTTGCTAACAATAAAAGATTGCTAACAAGGGGCCGGCCTGGTGGCGCACTGCGCTAGTGCGCCACTTGGGAAGCGCGGAGGCGCTCCC